GCATGATCAGGGGGCAGCAGGGCAGGCCCTATGAGGAGAGGCTACAGGACCTGAACCTGTTCAGCCTCCACAAGAGAAGGCTGAGGGGGGATCTAGTGGCCTGTTACAAACTAGTCAGGGGGGACCAGCAGGCATTGGGGGAGTCCCTGTTCCCCCGAGCACCACCAGGAGTGACCAGGAATAACAGTCACAAGCTAGCAGAGGGGAGATTCAGGCTAGACATCGGGAGGCGCGACTTCACGTTCAGGGCAGCTAGGAGCTGGAACCAACTTCCAAGAGAAATGGTGCTGGCTCCTACCCTGGGGGTCTTTAAGAGGAGGCTAGATGTACACCTTGCTGGTGTCGTTTGACCCCAGTAATCTTTCCTGTCATGGCAGGGGGTCAGACTTGATGATCTGCTCAGGTCCCTTCTGACCCTACCAACTATGAAACTAATCTTTTATAAAAAATGCATAGGTTCACGTTGATTATTTGACAAGCACTCTGGGCAATGGAATTATTTCCCCACTCAATTATTACTTGGAATTAAATGCTCCCATTACTGAGCACATTCATTTCAGGCTTTTTATAGAGAAAAGTCATCTTCCAATATTAGTTTCTCCATCACCCTCATCCAAAGCAGTATTCTCCTGCCACAGAATTAGTCAAGTAAAGAACAACTTGTCCCGTAATTTACAGACACTAGCTTAAATCTTCAGAAGTCCCTTGAAAAGCAATTCATAGGCTGCTATTACTTCTTGCTATGAATGGGTAATGTCTGAATATATAGCCTCTCTTCCTCACCTCCCACTGAACATGCATGAAGTAGTGCAAAAGAAAGATAACTGGAGTCAGTTACTGTTTCAGAGTAGAGTTTTACTACAGAAGAAGCTTACCTCACTGCCTTCATGAGATCTATTTTGTATTTCAGAAAGCAGCTAAACTGCAACTACCCCCAACAAAAGATGTATTCATCCCCAGAATCGAGCTAGACTCAAACGTAATGCATTCTGTTTGCCAAAGTGCCGCTTTGCTTAAAGAAGCCCTGAAAAAGTCAGTGTCTCAGCCTGAGAAGAGAATGGAAGGTACCGTGCTGATATCAGATAGATATCTCATTTAGCAGTTCCATGTTGCAAAGTCAACTCTGCCGAATAGGACAAACCTCTCTCATAAAATTAAGTGTTTGTCTCCATTAGCAAAGAGTCAGCTTGGTTGCATTCTGACAGGGTGCGAAACGTTTCACACCCTGGTGCACATTTGAAGAGTAAGCCTACTGACTCACCTTACTAGCCAATCTAGGTTAGGGCTCATTAGGTGTATAAGAAGATGTGATAGTCTTTCAGTAACAAAAGAAGTTAAAGAGGAAGATCTTTAGCAGATCTATACAGGAGTCACTTCCACAGCTAAAAATAAAGTTGAATCCCAGAATGGGGATGCCTTTGAACAATGCTATATTGAATACAGGGAGATTTCACACACAAACTGTCCCAGCTTTAATTAAATGGGATAAAAATCCAGCAGCCGAGATGGGATGGAATCCTAAAATAAGGAATTTAAAACCAGTGGAGAAGGGGAGTTTTGGATTGGCTTAAAAGTCTTTGATGATGCTGTGCTGTCTAGTAGCTACCAGGTGGGACAGTGGGAGCTGTTAAAGATGGGAGCATACCTGAAAAGAGCCGTGCTGACTGTCACAAATGCTTCTTACAGCAGGCGGACCACCCAGACCACTTATAGAAGAGAAGGGTGAGTCTTTCATCTCCCCCCACAAGCTCTCCAATTGCAGTCTTGTGCTGAAATAACTTCCCCTTTCCCTGTTTGTTTCCATTTATATATTTGCCTCTAAAATTGCATGCAAATTATTGGCCATGATACCCAGCAGTCTGGACACAACCAAGCTTTTTACTGCATCTTCTGTTGTCTTTATTAAGCAAGATGAAAACAACGTAGTCACGTACAGATCTCGAGGAGTCTGTGTACTGCCTGTATTAGCATAGGGGCTGGAGTCCCAGCTGAGATCAGAGCTTTGTGCTAGATGCCAGAGATCCCTAGTGAGGGACAATTACTGTCCAGAAAATCTTGCAGTCCAGTGGAGAAAGGACTCTAGGGATGCTGTGAAGTCCACTAGTGATTTCACTATTGCCAGTCTGCCTTGCATATCAAGTACTCAGGCTGCCCGAGGCTTGCCAGTGTAAAGTTCTGGGAGAGAGACCCCATTTTACAGATACAGGAAGACTAAGTAGTGGCAGAATCAGGCCTCCGATTTAGTCCCCTTCAGTTTAGCACCAGTAGAAATGCTGCAGGAATGAGGCTCAGATGACTTTGCCTGGGTCTGTGGCATTTGAATGACGGTCTCGACTCTTAACTGAGGTGCTGAACTGCAAAACCATCCTTCCTCACTTCTTGTCATTACCAATATGATTGCAGGACCGCCACAGTGGAAACCCAAGCCCTTTTGTCTTGTGAATGTGCCACCACCTTCTCCAATCAAACCCATGGTACCCCGTAAAAAGCCTGCTGGACTGCGTAAGTTTGACAAGCAGCATGGTCATCGACACATGAAAAACACTCACTAGATTCTCTCCTTTGCACCTGGTGTTGTATGTCTTCTCGAGCAAAGTGGTCACCAATGTTAAGGGCTACCACCAACTTGAAAGCTGCATCATCATCTGTTTTTGATCACAGGTTTTTTTTGTTTTTTGTTTTTTTAAATATTAGTAGCATCAAAAGAACTAGAACAGAAAGATAGGAAAGCAGTTTTCCCTCCCTGCTTATCCCCTACCTGCCCCTCAAAAGGGCCACACACAATGGCTGTTTGAGTTACCTCAAAAAACGCCCCCATCCCATGCTTAGTAAGGGAGTAGGAAAAGAGATTAGGAAACATGGAAAAAAGGGAGAGGAGAAGTAAGTTCAAGACCTTTAAGCCTTCAAGAGCAAGCTCTTAGAAACCCGAGTGAACTTGATGTATGGAGTTCAAGTTGATGGTATTCCTGTAACACAGCTGTGATATGCAGGTAGTCTATAGAACCAGAATGGCATGGGACTACACAACTGTTGTGATAACTCGTATATAATATCTTTATGCATAAAGCAGCACATAACAGCATTACTAAATGGTGCTTGTAGTTATAAATGGGCCTGTTGCTGGAAGGCACCTCTGTGATGGCTTTTGATTCATGTGAAGTTAAAGAACTGAGGGTTGATGGCAAGATCACTCCCTTGGCTGCCATGCTGCTGTCTGTGTCAAGATGGTAGCAATCTCTCAACTTCATCTTTCAGCCAAGCTATTTTGCTGGGCCCTGCTCCTGTGAGATACAGGGTGTTTTTTGACAAGGAACAAAGTAAGGCCTGGTCTACACTAGAAAGCTTTGCTGGGAGAGCTCTGGTAGAAGAATGCATCTAAACAGTCCCTCGCTTCTGTCGGCTGTAGCAGTCCTTCAGCAGCAGTCCCACAGTGGCTTGCACTGACTGCTTGGGAGACAAATGCTCTACTGAACAGAAGCCCAGGTCACTCGGTCTAGTTGAAAACACTTATTCCCTGCCAGCACGAGTGGACAGCTGCCACCAAGGAAAACCATGCACCTGTATGGAGCAGAGGGAGGGGCTGGTTCCCAGCCCAACTGTGGACAGACGCACACAAGGAGACTGCAGGCCATAGGCACAAATGGACAAAAAGTAGTACCAGCCAAGACTAAGGTTCCCCAGCAGTCCTGACTCCAGCAACCCCAGCAAACACACAGCCTGGACCTGCCCCTGGCATGCTCACACCCCCTTGGCAGGGACTGGATTTGCAGCCATAAGCAGAGCCAGCACCTCCTTAAGGTGAAGGGAAGTCTTTGGGGTCCCTCTCTCAGCCAGGGCCTCTCTAACCCCTCCACTTGGTTGTTTTCCCAGTTTTCCCTGGGGTGGTTCTGCTGGTCCAGCTCAGGAATCCCTAAGGAGAGTCTTATTCTCTTGGACAAAAACATCGTGTCCCTAGGCATCACCCCACAGAAGAGGGTTGTAGCAGTAACTCCTGTTCTGTCCCTTGCAGTTGCTAGTTAGAGCAGCCCATGCCCTCCACGCCATGCCAAAAGCACTTCTCCAGTGGGAACCGTTGCTGATCACTTCACACTGCTGTGACATGGCTCAGGCATCCTCAGCATTTGTCTACAGCATTTGCTTTCGCTGCATCTTGATCAGCAGCAGCAGGAAAACACTAGACAGAACAACAGCCTGTGCAGGTCTCCTGCATTTTTGCTTCCATAGATTCTCTGGAAAACATCCCCACCCCCCATTCTGTCCCCCAACCTGCCACTGTAATTCATCTCAGGAGCTCCTGGGTGAAAGCCCTCATGTCCCACATGTTGTGAAGCAGAGCAAGGGTGGGCAGGGCAGCACCCAGAGGCTGGGAGTCAGTCACAGAGCCCTCCCCCCTGCGCTGCTGCTGTATCTCGCAGGCTCCCCATCTTTCTTTCAGAAGCCTGAGGTACAGCAATCTTGACAGTAGCCTCAAGGCCAGCGTGGATGTGGCATCTCCAAGGTGGAGGTGTCTGTGGAGTGGCTGATAGACAAGACTGCAAGGGCAGTGGGGCAACTGGGCACTAAGAGCAGAAGTGGAAGGGCAGCAGCAGGAGAAGGAGGGAAATGTGCATGTGGGGATAGCTTCTGGTCAGGCAGCCAAGAAATGGAGACCAAGAAGATAAACCACCTGATCCCAGGTGTTGCCTGCCCACCCTTGCCTGTGCCACAGGTGCAGCTGTGACGGTGGCTCAAACTATTGCCACCCTCCCTAGATGACTTACCCACCACGCCTTGTTTTTAAATATTGTATGTTGAATCAAGGAGGCTGCCAGAAAGCCTTAGAGTGAGCCCTAATCCCAGTAAGTTCCCACTGGGTCTTTCCCCGAGACCCCTCTAGCCTTAATCCAGCCCTCAGGCTTGGTAACTCCTTCTCTGCCTGACTACGTCCCTGTAGGGCACCAAGGGCCTTAAAGGCAAATTGCATGCCTCCTTCACCTCCCTGTACCGCATCCCAAGCCTCATGGGTATTCTGTCATTGTTTAGACACCCCCCCTTGCACCCCTGGTCCTCATGCATGGCCCCTCCTCTGGGCTCTCGGACCCTCTAGTCCAGCTTGGACCACTCTGGGCTTATAGACCCTCTGGCCCAGCTCAGCCTTCCCCATGGCTCTTGGGCCTTCTGGTTTAGGTGTCAGCTTTTTCCTAGGCTCCTCACCAGGTCCACCCTCAATCTGAGGGCTCCTGGGTTACCGGCTTATTAAATACGCCTCGAGCTTGCCCTAGGAGGGCTGACAGCTAAACTACCAGTCTAACTCAAAAGAATAAGAAACAGCACTGCCTTCTGGCAACCACCTCAAGTCCTCTAGGGGCTTAACATAAATGAAGGCCACTTGCCTGTACACCCAGTCTTTCTCAGTCTAAGGAACTTGTCTCTGTTCCTAGGCCTGCAGAGTTGTTCAGCCAAATCCAGGTCCCTTCAGGAGCCCCACACTTCTTGGTTGCTGGGGACAGACTACCTGACCAGTGCAGCCTGGGCTTATTTAGCTCCAACCTGAGCCCTCTTCCGGTTAGGTGAGTCCCTCATTAGCTCCCCTCTGCCACCTGCAAGCAACCTCCCAGGCTGCTTGCTTTCTTGAAGGAGCAGGCACATCCCAGTGCCCTGCTGCAGAACATAAACACTTTTCTGGGAGCCTCCTGAGATGCAGGTACTTTCCTCACCCACAAAAAGAGCCCTTGGTGCTGCTGGAGAGGGGCGTGAACTGTGACTTCATGTTCACCAACCTACTAGCTAGTCAGTGCTGAGAAGCACCTGGCACTTCTTTCCTCGGGGCATTGCAAACCCCAGTGACAGCAGTTTTTAGGGTTGATTGTTTGTAATTTTATTTTTTGCCTGGTAACTTGCAGTTTGTTCTCTCTCATCTTTCTTTGATTGAATTTTAAGCACCACTCTACTGCCTGTTACCATGAATAAAAGCTTTACTTTTGAATCCTGCCTTCAATTTGGGTATTGGTCTTCAAGCGCAGGCATGGGAACGCCCTGCCGCACTGCTGCAGAAGCCACAGGCCTGTAGTCAAGGCACAGCATGAATGTGGGGCCTCTTGCCGCCTCCCAGAGAGCTCTGCTCATGACTCTTCTGGCTGTTTATTCTACCTGGCAGTCTTTCTACCTGCCCTTGCTCTGCTTTGGCTTCACCAACGTACAGACCATAGCACATACTAACAAACCACAAGGATGTTTGCTCACTAAGGTTGAGCCTTGGCAGGACACCTTTTCAGTACCCCTCCAAGCACAGGTGCATCCTGCCCCAGTTTAGTTCAACCTTTCATTGCTGCTGTCCTGATTACCTCCATATAACTTCCTGAGCCAGAGGGAAAGCTAGGTTCCCCAGAATTACCCAGGCTTTGACTGTCCATGAGTGTGCCTTTCAGCCTTGGTGCTAGCAAGTGTAGCACTGCCAAGCCTATAAGCATGCTGCAGTTTTTTTTTTCCCCCAAGGTGGAGAACCTTGTATTTTTCAGTGTTGAATGCCATCAGGTTTTTGTCCGCCCATTTTCTGAGCCTGTTTAGGTCAGCCTGGATCACCACCTTGTCCCCAGGTGTGGATACTTTACCCCAAAGTTTGCACTGCTTCTGCATCCCGTGATTCACTGCATTAGGAGATAGTGCAAATGCCATGGAGAGATCTTCCCACAGGGTGGTTCACATTCCTCTGACACAGCCCCATGCACACCCAAAGCACTGTACGTGTTCTGGTGCTTTAGTAATGTTTGCCCTGAGTCGATGGAGTGACTGCCAGCAAAGCTTTGCCGTGTAGGCCTGGGTGTGGGGGGAATCAGGCTCCTTATGGGGTCAGACACCTTGTGAGCTCTATGAACACAAATCACATGGGTATAATTATAATATATAATATAAGTCACAAACCCTCTGGGGCTCAGCTCCTGCTACTTCATCAGTGTTGTTAAGCAGGTTCTGCATAGCTGAAGTGCCTAGTGAGCTTGTTCTAAATGTCTGTTACTTGAATGAAGGTTCACGTAATGTATCCTGCTTGTAAGCTTGTTTGACATTCCATCTTCTTCCCTCACAAGAGGCTCCCAAAGGAGTTAAAATCCCTCAGCAGCTTCCGCAGGAGTCAAATGTGGCTGCAGATGGCAGTAAGTGATGGACAATAAGCATGAACAGCAACCTGACCCATGCTTGTGCTCGCTAAGCAAACCCTGCAAGGTGTTGAGGGCCAAGGGGGTGGAATTAAGGAGATGGAAGAGGCTCTTTACAGATGGCATCTTGGCCAAGCACTTTTGGCTTGATGTTTTTCTTCACTCATTTCGACACAAATTCAGACGGTCCCCTGCATCCTGGGAATTTAAAGACATGAAGTATGTTAAGATGCTGCCTATCATCTGCATGTGGCTGTATGTCTGTAGACAGAGGTACTTACAACTTGTCTACCTCAAGTCAGATGTGAGCCATGTTGCATGAGCCTCATATTAGCCATATTGAAAACTACAGGCTTCCCCCTACAAGTTCTTGTCATGTAAAACTTCCATTGATCTCCAGCGGAGCACTTGCAGGTTTGACCTTAAGTTGTCAAAGTTGAACTAACTTGTAGCTTCTGCTTCTTGCTGTTGACCACAAAGCAAAAAGTAAGCAATGCACTGCATAGGCATGTAACTCCTAGCTTGGAAAAAAAAGTTATGTTGGGCTCCAGTATGCCAGACCCTCTGCTGTTTTAACTTGCTGTCTAGCTTTGCCAAGATATCCCACCTTAACACCAGCTGCAGTATTGACCATAATGGATGTGAATGGCTCTTGTTTTAAATATAGAAACATTTTCTTGTCTCATCAGAACTAATGCAAAACTTTGCTTTTTCAGAGAAGATAAAACCCAGCAAATCTGGTGAGTTCAAAAAGTGTTTACTCCACATACCTTTCATTGTTTTCTGTTTAATGCTAAGTTGGAGATGGCGGCTGACACCACCCTACTAAGCAATGGTTCAGCAATAGTTGAGGTGCCAATGGGCTCCTGGAGAAAGGTGTGAATTTGTCTCATTTTGTTCCTACCCCTCCCATCACAAGACAGTGTGGGAAAATGATCTGTCCTGGGTTGCCGACACAGACTGAACGCCATACTTCTCATGGAACAGAGTCTAGTGCGGCGGTTCCCATCCTGTGGCTTGCAGATAATTTGTCTGTGAAACCCTTGGAGGTGGCATTGTGCCCACAGGAGACCTTCCCCTGCACAATTAGGTGTTTCCTCAGGCTGACAAGCTGAGCAAGGTGGGACACCTTCCTCAGCACTGTGGTCCACAGCCCAGTGAAGTTTGGATAACTAGCTCAGGCTCTAGTGTTTGAGCTAAAGGACTATGTTCTCACTGGCACTTATAGCAGTTTTATAAGCTTCTTACAGAGACCAGGCAGTAGAAGCAACCCAAGACCTCCAGCTTAATCCAGCTCCATCTAAGATGCAACCCCTTCCCCTCAGACCTGAACCCATATTGCCTGTTCACTTAGGGCCTGTTTCCAAAGAATGAGTTACGCTTTTCACCTGTTTTCTCCATGGTTGTGGAGCGTAGTGTGATTCACAGTTGCTGTACACCCTGCCATGGCATGACTCATGTCTCCTTATATACGTTTCAAGAAAAAGGGAGCTAAGAATATAAAGGGGAAACTGGGGGACAGAGTTAAACTTAGTCATGCAATTTGACACATTACACATCTATCACACGTCCAGGTCTGGCAAAGGTCGTTAATGATCTCCATGGAATAAATTAGTGAGGTATCTGCACCCAAAGTCCCTATCATGACTGGCCCTGTGGACAGACTCAACAGAGGCCAAAGAATGAAAGAAACAGAAGAGTGAACTTTATTTTCTCATTCATACAGCCGGCTGAAAAAAAATGGCATTTGGCAAGACTTTCTGTATCCATGCTGTGCTTAGCTCTCTTCTTTGTAGGCTTTTTAATATAGCCACTGGAGTCTACCACTGGCTCAAAGGGGTGATTAAGTCAGAATTCATAGAGTGACTTGTAGAATATAATTCAATTTAAGAAGATCGTATGAGCTCTGTATTTCCTCCAGTTTAAATTGCATCATTGCTCTCTCTATTCTCTTACATCAGTACCAAACCTGGCAAGTCCAGACCCTGACACATCTATCGAAAGCTTCCTAAAGAAATCTAGAGAGGAGCTTCTGCGCTGTAAGTAACTTGTCCAGTCACACAGGTCTTAAAAACCGACGACTTCTTTCATTTGCACTGGGATTGTGTGATTGAACTTTTTCCATGTTGTTGCATAATTATGGCCTTATTAATATTATAGCAATGGTCCGCTAAGAGGTATAAATGAGGTATACGTTTTCAGAAAAAAAGGAAAAACCTGCTAGGGCATTGGATACATTCCCCAAAAAGTTCACCACTAGTATAAATGGAGTACACGGTTAAACTGAGATCCAGTGCCAGTGGCAGACTTGGGATGCTGCTCTAAGTTAGCTTGTTGGGGAAGGTAACAACTTGGTTGAAATTCACAGAAAGCTAAGCGGGTTTAGGAGCCAGACTCGCTTTTGAGAATGAGACTGAGATGCCATTGGAAACTACTTACTTCTGGTTTCAGAAGCCTGTTGTATGGATACTGGCAGAGGTCTAGGAGACCTGCCTGCAAGTTTCTGGATGCGTCTATACGTTCATTAATGTGCCATAGTTACTGCGCATTAAGTTTAGCACTTGGATAACCAAGTACTAAATCAAAGTGCAGTAACTCGCACTACTGCGCAGTAGTGCTGGTGCACGGGTTTTTAGTGACACTAATTGCACAGTAGCCTAATACTACTGCGCAGTAGCGTATTAGCACAGTTTTTGCCCAACACACAACTGTTAGGCTATGGCACAGTTAGCATAGGACTTGCCACAGTGAAGGAAGCTTGATCCATTGAATCCAGAATCTTGCCCTCAACACTGGTGAGCATTAGCAACTCCTCAGGATGTTACAAGAAAAGTCACAGTAGGAAGAGCTAAATACAGCAGTGAAAACCTTTATACATACAACAGTATAGAAAGATTTTCTTTTTGTATGTATGGACATACACAGATACAAATGCATGCACACACATGTCTATATAAAGTATCTAAATGTTATGTACAACTATATAACCACTATATATACGAGAGAGAGAGAGAGAGAGAAGAACTGGGACCTTTCTGAATAAACCAATATAGCTCCTAATATCTTTTCTTTATAATCTCTTGTATTCCTCCACAGATGCTACAAAAGTCACACTGGATTTCAACACGGCTCATAACAAAGTGCTTTTATCAGAGAAAAACACGAAAATATCTGTCTCTGAAACCCCCCAGAATTATAACTCACACCCTCAACGCTTCTCCTACTGTTCCCAAGTGCTGGGCTTCCAGTGTTTCAAGAGGGGCATCTATTACTGGGAAGTGGAACTGCAGCGTAACAACTTCTGTGGCATTGGCATCTGCTACGGGAGCATGGACAGGCAAGGGGCAGACAGCCGCCTGGGGAGAAATCCCAGCTCCTGGTGCATTGAGTGGTTTAATGCAAAAATTTCAGCCTGGCATAATGATAATGAAAAATGCCTGCCCAACACCAAGGCTACCAAGATAGGTGTGCTGCTCAACTGGGATGCAGGCTTTGTGCTTTTCCTGGCTGTTGGTGAGAAAGTTAACTTAATCTACAAATTCAAAGCAGAGTTTACTGAAGCGCTGTATCCTGCTTTCTGGGTGTTTTCCAGTGGCACTACACTCTCGATTTGCCCACTGAAGTAACAGCATGCTGTGCCCCAGAGCTGTTTCTTTATGGTGTAGCCTGCAAGCCATCTATGTTGCAGAGCTTTCTTTCTGTGCTTATCACTTTCTCATGTATTCAAATGATGGGGCGTTATCTTTTTCACTTGCTGGGTGGCTTAATGATTATCCAAAACCACCTCGCAATTCTGTGAGGAAGAAACTGGTTGGAGACTCTAGGCCTGCAGGCTGGACTTAGTGCATTAGTTTGACATTTATGCACCAGAAAGGGAGGGAAGCTTCGGCTGTCTGCAAATGTAAAAGAGAATAGAGTGTGCTTCAGAGTATGAAGGGTGCTTCCCTGCTTAAAACTAATTTCAGGTCCCTGGTTTTTAAAGCAATTTCCTAAATACTTTGGGGCAAGGGAAAACTGCATGCTTTTGTCTTTGCTGTGATAAGGGGAAAGATGGCTTCACACACATACACACACACACACACACACGCACGCACGCACGCACGCACACCACCCCCCCACCAAGCAGTGCCAATGTTCGGTTCCCTGTTTGGGTGAGGGTCTCAGTCACTGACTGTTCATTGCCTGCAGTTTGGTACTTGGCCTCCTGCCCCTCCAGACTGAATTCCTAAATCTTTAAGCAAAATAGACAAAGTGCTGCAGTCAGTGAAAATCTTTGAAGCATTTCCTCACCGTTGATGCATAACAAAGGCTATTGCATCAACAGTGCTCAAAGGATCCTGACTCTTTTTTTTCAAGGAAATGATAATTGTAAAAGATAATTTCAAGGAATGATGATTGTAAGGCACGTCATCAAATAGCCTTGTCATGGCCAAACCCTGGTGTCCGTGAAGGACTCTAGTGGGAGTTGGATTCTATCCCAAATGCGTTGCATGGCTAATGTTAAACTCTCGGCTTTATTGGAAGAGAGCCGATAAGAATTCTGCCTGGAAACCCACAGACTTGCTCTGCATTTCCTTCATCCTGTCTCTAGACTTCAGTGGAAGAATTTTTACCATTTGCTTTCCTGATGCTTGGATGGTTCTCTATAAGCAAGAGATCAGCTTCACATGGAAAGAGTGGACTTCAGAAACGACATAAGTCTGTGAGAGGCAAGATTTGAATGACTTCTGCGCGTGGTTAGTTGTAGACACTTGTAGATCGGGTCTGAACTGAATCAGAAATGCAAAAGTTTAGCTCTGAATGGTAAAAAGCCAATATGAAAACCTATAAAAACCTGACCAACTTGAAAAAGAAACCAACAACCACATGTAAAAGCTTAGCATCTCTAGGAAGAAAATGTGCAGAAATTCCTCTGGAGTACCTAGGATGAAGAAGTTATGCAAGTGGGTTTTTTTTCAAAGAAAGTTTTGATGGGATGAAACAGCACCTAGTCTTAGCACTTTTCAGGGTTTAAAGTGCTCAGAATGGAGATCAGTTCCTGAAGTAGATAGCTCCTGAAGTAGAGAGATGGAGGTGCTTTTTAACATCACAGTTTAATTAAATCCCTACTGAAAGGAATGAAACTTGGAAAAAAAAACCCCCATGTCTGGTTTGCCACCTCACTAGCTGGCATGCCTCTTGGAATGAAGCGTTGTGGTTTATGGTGCATTTTACATTGGCACCCCATGACATTGAAATTTTGCATTATTTTACATGTTGGGGAGCTATGGGTAGGAGTAGAGAGGACCTGTGTAGTAGCACTGACACTACTTGCTCATAGCAGGGGCTGTCCTAAGTTTCTCTTTTCTTGAAATGCAGCATTCCCTGAATACCAAGATTTTTGTGCGCCTCTGGCCATGATACTAAGATTGCTGCGTGACTTCCAAAGACTTAAGCACTGCCTTAGTGCACACTTCAAAGCATCTTTTGAAGTGACATTTCCTCTTTGCCTTTATATCTGCGCATAGATTAGTGAATCTTCTGAGCTAGAAATGTGCAGGAAAGGGAAAGGTGGGAGAATAGGTTTTTCATTCTCATCATGACTTGGCTTTGCTTTTTGTGGTATCACAGAATAGCAGTTGGTCTGATTCCATTCAGCATGATGTGCTGCTTGGGAGACCTTTGCTGCTTTTCATACCTAAAAGCCTGGAGCTGGGAAAACAGCCAGTGAACACAGCTGTGGGCCCGAGACCTAAATGTCTTGTGCCTGTAACTAGGAGTCAGCCAGAGGCTTGTCTTGCTGGATCTCCTTGCTGAGGCCAGCAGTTGCTGAGATGAACGGATCAAACTTTGTCGTCTGGTAAAGCTCTCCCCTGTGGAACTTTGTATGCTCTGTGAAATATAATGCTAAGCCACTGCAGACATTGCAGGCATGTTTCATAGATATCCTAGACGTTAGGGCTGGAAGGGACCTTGCAATGTTCATGGAGGGTGAATTTCCTGAAGGTTCACAGGACGCCCGGTGGCCGCATTTTACATGAGCTGAAGTTCCTGGAGATCCTTAGACAATGCAAAGCACTGCAGCAGCTCAGACTTGATTCCTAACAGTGAGTGAACTGTCAAGTCAGAGTTCAGAGGCGATGCAAGTCAAAAGATACAGTGAGATTATTTTGGGCCAAAGGGACTTAGTTAGATGCCGTGCTGCACCCAGAATGTTCTCTAAGCATTGCAGAGCATTTGCTGGAATATCTATGATATCAAAGTATGGAAAAGGCCAGCACCGTTTCCAAAATGTGTTCAGCACTAATGATCCCCATGATTCAGTTCAGCACTGAAATAGCCAAGAGATCAGGAAGAATGATGCTGAGCTGGTCAGAAAGACGGAAACCAGTTGTCACCGCACAACATGTCAGAAGCAGGAACAAAAACAGCATGAATATGAACACAGTCAAAGAATGAGGAAACAGAAAGGCATAATTGCAATGCTGGATAAAACCAGAAGCCAGTTAATCAACTAGATAACAACAGAGCTTTATTGTGGTGTCCAGCATGACTACTCAGAAGGAAAAAGTTGCAGCGATGGCACCGTGGAGGGTTGGGTGGGCCATCCATCCCACGCAGTGGGGACAATCACTGGAGAATAGGAGTGACTGTCTCGCAAGTGCTGGATTCCTGCACTTTTCCAATGAGATGAGTTCAACTTCGCCACCCCAGTATTCAGGATTTCTAGGGTGAGTTCCATTTAATGCTCGATGATCTTAGGACTTTCCCCATAAGAAAGGGGCAACCGATATTACTTGAAAATGTCCTCCTCTGTATTCATAGTAGGTACATTCAGGTCTGTGTTCCCCCTGGTTTTGGGGATCCTAGGATCTCTGTCATCTTGCGCGGGGTTTGTATGGGACCTACATATTCCTGGTGAAGCAGATTTGAGGCTCTGTGGATTTTTGTCCAGCATCTGCGTGATTCCAGATTTTCACCCAGTCAGAGGGGTGCTCTCTGTCAGAGGCTTACCTGGTATTAGGGACCTTTGGGCTCTCTTTCCTCGAAGGAAACCAACTAAGTCTTCAGATGTGCTGAAATGTTTAAAGTGCTCTTCGAGGATGTTCCTTCCAAGCGACCCTCCCTGCATCGTAGGTGCCTGGCTGTCCACCTTGCAGTGCACCAGAGCATTGAAGAGTGGGTCTGGAGCACTTCTATCAGCTCCCTAAAAAGATGGAGCTGCATTTTAGCAACACATGTATCCCTGAGCTGCCCAGAGCCATCAGCTCTGGGGGTCCAACTCCTATGGGGCTTGGTCTGTCGGAGATCCAAAGAATTAGAACCACTTGCTCCTTTCATCATGGTG